CGGCAAATCTTTATCTCCATACGTAGTTGTTGGAGTATCTGCATCCTGGACACCAGCTATCTATATGCTGGAGATTTGCAGATGATTGAAGGATGCCTGTGTCAGGGAGACCAAGGTGTGGCCAGAGTGCTCTGGGAGTGCTTTCCAGTCCCAGTGCTCTCACTGAGTGACTCTGAGATCCTTGGCCTTCACTGTCATCGTCTGTAAAATGACAGTTGCTGACTTTAGTTTATGACGATAAGTCTGTACTAAAATGTCATCAGTGCTGGATGCTTAGTACTATACTAGATGCTATACTAGGACATTTAAAAAAGTATAGAACAGTTTTAGCACCCAGAATCTTATGACATGGTTGGGAAGACAAACCACAGTTGGAAACTAGATAAATAATAATCTTGGGAATCACATGATTAGATGTAAGCTAAGAGATGGATGCGAGTATGTGGGGGTTGTTATGCTTAGCGTTTTACTGTGTGTGTAGTTAGCTGGCTATAGTTCTGTAATGAGGCACTACAGTCAACTGCCTGGCCTGATGCCTTCGGGAATTCCGACTTGGTAATTCCCACGTGCATAACCTGCAGAAGGTGGTTGTTTAACTCCCTTTGTTCTCCTGTTTGTTAAACTTTAAAATAGTGCATTCCCAGCACATTGAGGTGATTAGAATTTAGTAAAAGATACATTTTTAAGGCATAGTTCTTCATCTAAAAACTTTTTTTTTCAATATAATGCGAAGATGTTTTTTTTGTTGTTCTCATTACTGCTGTGTTCTGTGCACCTAGCACAGTGCCTGACAAATGGTAAGCACTCAGGAAATACAGTTGAGGGACAAATTTGAAATTACATTTAGTTGCCAACAATTTTTAAATCATTCAAAATTATCTTGTTATTAAAAGATACTCAGTTTGGAATACTGTTTTTTTGTTTTTACGTTTATTTGTGTTGAGGACGAAGCAGGGAGAGAGAGAGAGAGAGAGAGAGAGACAGAGACAGAGAGAGAGACAGAGAGAGCAAGCATGGGGACACAGAGAGAGAATCCCAAGCAGGCTCCACACTGTCAGCGTGGAGCCCAATGTGGGGCTTGAACCCACAGAACCGTGAGATCATGACCTGAGTCCACGTCAAGAGCAGGTCACGCAACTGACTGAGCCACACAGGCACCCCTGGAATTTTGGGTTTTAAACCTCAGATCTAACTGTTAGGACAAGTTGCCATTATAAAAATAGAATTTTAATGAAGCCAGCAGCCTTTTAGTAGCTTTTTCATATTCCTAAAAGGAAATGATTTTCTAGATGAATGAACTTCTCCACTGTATTAGTTATCTGTTACTGACATCTGACTGCAACATCCTGCAGGACTCTATGCAACAGCTGCCTAGCCAGGCCATTCCTAAAACCTGACACAGAGAAACTGTGAGGGATAATAAATATTAGCAGTGTGAAGTTTTGTGATATCATAATATAAAGACTTTCATATCTATTTTACTTGAAGACTGTTCATCAGTAGATACCCTGCAGTTTTTCAAATATAAAAAGGATCTACTTTTTAAAATATTTATGTAATTATAAAATAGTTCATGTTCATCACAAAAATCAAAATAATGCAGAAAGGTAATCAAAGTTGTAAAAATGACTCCAAATCCTGCCACATTTTGGTGTCTCTCCTGAAATCTGTTTCTATGTGTAGACATACATACACATAGGTCTGTCTTTTCCATAAGTGGAAGCATACTATTCATGTGTGTTTTTCCATCTTTTTAAACTCATGCCCTTGTTTGAGTAACAGAAAAGCTAATGCCCTCCTTGAATGCGATTTGAAATTTCATAGTAAATTAAGTAACATGACCAAAACTGATTTTAGACAGAGGTAATTTAAGAAAGGGAAATATTTTTAGTTTAATCTTAAAAGAACTCTCAGGTAACATGACCTTGACTTGTTTTCCATAAAGCTGTTGATCCTAGGTAAGTTGGAAGATAGGGCACAGTAGATATTTTAAATAATTTGCTCAACATTTCGTTGGAGAAACTGAGCACTGTTGAGGAGAGAGGCCTGGTAACGACAGCTTAGTCTTCCCCTGTTGCCTTGAATGGTTAAGTTCTTGGCCCACATTTGTATATTCCTCTTAGCAAAGCAGAAACCCTGCAGTTCACTGGAGATTAACCATTTTAACTTGGGAATGCTCTTTGGGGAGTGTGACCCCTGCCCTCGTCCCCACTCCAAGTAAGTGATTTTTCCGACAATATACAGCACTCTAAAATGAGTTTTGGCAAATTTTTCTTCTGTCTTTTCCGTGATGTTTCCATGGCCCTTATGGATTGGCTAGCCCCCCCCCCCCCCCGTTACTCAGGCTGTTTCTGCATATGATTTGGCTGTTGTCTCACACTGTACACTCTCGATTCCCCTTCTTCCTAAACTTGCTCTCCTTCTAGTCGTCCCTAGTCAGTAAATCCATGCCTCCATTGACACCGTGGCTCCCCTAGTCCAAGTATCATCTTTCTTTCCTGAAGTTGGTTTCTGTTTGACTTCTTTACAGTCTCTTTTTCCACACAGTAGACAGGATGATCTCTTAAAAAGCATAGAATCAGATAATATTACTCTTCTTAAAACCCTCCTTTGAGCTTGGAATAAAACCTGAATTAATTGCCACCACCTACAAGGCTCTGCGCGATCTGTCCCTTGCTTACCCCTGTCCTAATCTTTCTCTGTTCTCTCCCTCATTCACTCTGCTCTGGCTGCATCGCCCAGACATGTCAAGATTTCTTCCCCCAGATATATGCAGCTCGTTCCTGCCTTCACGCCTTTGCACCAGCTGCTTCCCCTGCCTGGAGTGCTCTGCCCCAGAACTCGCCTGGGTAGGCCCTAAGCCCGCGGTGTCCTGCAGGTTTCGGATTTCACCTCCTCCGAGGTCTTCCCCAGTCTTCCAGCGTAATGTAGCCCCCGATTCGCTGCCACGCTACTTTATTTCCTTCATAACATGTAGCAGTTTCGAACCATCTTTATATCTTTCTCTCTTGTTTATCGCTTCTTTTTCTTTTGCCAGAATTTTAAGTTCCATGGGACTGTAGATCTTGTCTGCCTTGTCCACCCTGTATTCCTAACACATAGAACAATGCTCAGTAAATCTTACCTAAGTAAAAAAAACAAAACAAAAAAAAAAACAAATGGGGAGGGAATCACTCAGATGGAGAAATGTGCTTTTTAACACCCTAGGGTGGCTGGAGCCAAGCTGTTCACGTAGGAAGGGAAGAAGGAGGGACAGAGCACAAAGCACTGTTTTAGCCCGAGTTAAAGCATAAAGTAAATAATACAAAATGTGGCCCAACAGTGAATGTAACAATTGAGAAACTAATTTCACGTTGAAGAAGGACTAGTTATTCAGACAATCTAGAATCCGATTAATCCTCAGGATTTCCTGTGCTGTTAATAACTTCAGTTGCTAGGCTATATAAGATAATATAAGATATTTTGATCTAATATAAGATAATTTGATCTTCATGCCTCAAAGAGGCATTGATTGTGAATGTTTATTATATTTTGTTATTTATTAAAAAATAATTTTAAGGCATCGTTCATGGAATATGTGCAAGAGAAGAAATTCTTAGTGTTGCTTGTAGGACCAATTCTGTCATTAGACTATATTTTGTAATGCTTTAATTTATGTGTTTTCCATAAGTTTTCAAATAACTGCTGTGCTATGGTCTAGAAAAGATTGTACTGTAAGGGAAATATTTTAGTACCTTTAATAAAATATACTCTGGAGATTTTTTTTTTTTAAATTGAACAGTAAAGGAAAATGTGTTCTTAAAACCTATAAGAAATTAAAATCGTTTTACTCTGCAATTACTAGTTTAGCTTTGTTGTTTAGTTTATAAACTGTTGTTTTTTGTTGTCCCCTAAAGATAAGAGGAGAAATCAACCTAGTGATTTATGATTAAATACATCTGAGTTAAGCTTTCTGTCTGGTTCTTTTCTCTGTTTACATTTTGGGAAAAAGTTATGGTAAATCTAATATGAGATCTGAGTTAGCTTTTTTAGAGTCCACTTTTCTCAAATTTATTTTCACATGACTGTTGCCTTCAAAGTTGCCATCCAGGGAAGTTGTACATTTATTCCAACAATGCTTCCATTCCTTAAAATAACTCTTTTCAGAGATGCTTCATAGTCAGTTTTGGAATTATGAAAGAAACTTAGCATTTTTTGCTTTATTTTATTATTGAAAAACCTCAACTTTTAAAACTAAATGAAGACATATAATTTCCTCAGTTGACTTTGTATTAATATTAATTAATGAAGCCAGTGCTGCTGTCATGCAGTTGAAGTTATGACCTGTGAGATCATGAATGATATCTTGTAAATTTGTTTAAAGAACGAAGAACATTGTTTAACTTTGTGAAGTAATAGATTGAAAAGAAACCAAACACCTGAGTGACCAGTTCACCTCCTTTTAAATTTACACTTTATCTGAAACTGAGGGCAGTGCCTTGTGCCCCTCTGTAGAGGGAAGACAAGGGGGTGCCAAATCTGAGAGGAAGCACCTCCCCTTTGGGGAGAAAGAGGAAATGACCTGGTGTCAGGAAAAAAGGCCAAAGTGGGCTCTTTTTAGTACTGAGTGAAATCTAAGAGTCTATATTTAAAATCTGCCCCTAAAACTACTCTTCTTTTACAATTCTTGGCATCAAAGAGTACAGACCTGTTTTGGAAGATACACCTACTTTGAAAGCCCAGATACACGTATTTGAGAGGAGTAGCTGGAGCTTTGTTGGTGTTTGTTGTTAGAAGGCATTTAAGTTCTATTGTGAGATAAACGGATCATGTGTTTCAGGGCAGGTCTTAATGTCTTGGCCTCTGTGACCATCAAGGGCTTTTATTTTGTTTTATAAGCCAGTGCTTTAATCTTTTATCTATAAAGATCACTTTTTTATTTACTTTATTAAATATCATAAATGTGTGGGTTTTTTATAAAAAAAAATCTTTTCTTATCTTTCTTTTTTTTTTTTCTAAAGCTGCACGTCATTGACTCCTGGACCTAACTGTGACCGATTTAAACTGCACATACCATATGCTGGAGAGACATTAAAATGTAAGTAAATGATGACTATTTTATTGAAAATGTACATTACAGTGCTAGTTATCAGACTTTGTGCTTCAGTTTTTATTTCTGGCTATTAGGTATTATCACTAGGATTTACCACTTAAAAAATAATTTTTTTTAATGTTTATTATTTATTTTTGAGAGACGGAGAGACAGTGTGAGCAGGGGAGGGGCAGAGAGAGAGGGAGACACAATCCAAAGCAGGCTCCAGGCTCTGAGCTGGCAGCACAGAGCCTGACACAGGGCTTGAACTCACGAGCTGTTGAGATCACGACCTGAGCTGAAGTCGGATGCTTAACTGACTGAGCCACCCAGGCACTCCTAGGATTTACCACTTTTAAAAAATTTGTCTTTTAATTTGAGTTCTATTCAAAGTAAGGCAGTTGGCAGGGAATAAGCGGTGGTCAAATAGGCATACACTGAAATTCTTAGTTTTTAGGCCTATGCAGTAATTCTTGCATTTTTTTCCCTCTACTGACAGATCTTATGTAATTTGTCAATAAAGAGAGTCCATTGCTTTAAAATACCTGACTATTTAGAAACAGCTTTTAGGTAGGAATGGCTTCTAACTCCCTTCTGGAAGTATTGCTGCCAAGAACCAACTCCTGATTGCCACCTGAGCATCAGAGTCTTCCCTCAGAGACTCTTGGCATAGATTAGGATTGTCAACAGGTTACCTCTTTTATAGCAAGGGTTGGAAATGCAAATGGCTACCGTGGCCAGACTAGTCACAGAAATGAGGGGGACAGGCTAGGTGTGACAATTGGGCACACCTACCGTCTTGAAGGGACTGCCTCTGTTGAGAGGTGGAAATCTGAACTTTTGTATAAATTCTTTCATTTTAGGGTCCCAACTACTTTTTCAAAAATTAGAAACATAGTGTGGGCCAACATAAAGTGGGTCAGACCAAATGTGTGTGGGGCCTGGCTCGAGCTCTTCGACCACTGATTTGTGATCTTGATGAAGAGCAGTCAAGACCTACTGTTGCGTTTAGTCCACCGTCTACAACATCTGCCTACATTGTATCAACCCTTCCCCGCTGTTATTACCAGTGCTGACCCCCTAGTGCAGCATGGAAATGATGGTGGCTTTGGTGGGTTAGTCCCAATCTCATCAGGAATTTTCTCTCTGGAGCCTATTCTTGTGGCAAAGAAGGTATTGAAGTCTCTCTGGTCTTGAACAGAGGAATAAGGAACATAAATGTTAAAGATGGGACAGATGAGTAAATAGTGCCTTTCAGGCTGTGGACTATTTATTTATTTATATGAAATTTATTGTCAGATTGGTTTCCATACAACACCCAGTGCTCATTCCAACAAGTGCCCTCCTCAATGCCCCTCACCCACCCTCCCCTCCCTCCCACCCCCCATCAACCCTCAGTTTGTTCTCAGTTTTTAAGAGTCTCTTATGTTTTGGCTCCCTCCCTCTCTAACTTTTTTTTTTCCTTCCCCTCCCTCATGGTCTTCTGTTAAGTTTCCCAGGATTGTGGACTCTTTTTAAATTATAGGCCACCAGGGGCTACATCTTAATATTCTGTAGCATCACAAATGCAACATTAAGCAAAAAATATAGGACATGCTGACTTGTTAACCTGGCGTTACTATTAGATCATTCTCTGGAAACCATTAAAATACATAAGAATTTCACCTGCCTGAGGTAGTGGGACATTCTAGATTGTTTCTGAAAAAATGATTAACTAAATTTAGAAGAAATGATCAAACTAAATCATTCACGTGGCTAAAAATGTAAAAAAGTCCAGAAATTTTTTACACGTGAAAGCTGTAGTCCTCTGTTAGGTTTCTTCCCAAGCCCGGTCCTGTTTCCCGAGGGAGTCACTTACATTTTTTTTTTTTGTAAAACTGTTTCAGTATGTAGTTCTTCTGGGGCTGCTCTCCATATGTCTAAATAATGTTTATGCCTCTGTTTCTTGACATCAATTGTAGATATTATTATCTTTTGACTCTCTGCTCTGATACATAAAGCATTGGCCTGTCTTCATTGAACTCTGTGTCTTTCTTCTTTCTTCCTCTTCAGTGCAATTATATCGCCACGATTGGTTCCTGTGTTGGTTACTCTGTAGCTTGAACATTTTTCCTTTCTTTCTTAAGGACCACTGTCAGCATTGTATGGCACAGTTAAATGAACAGCTCCTAAAACGTTCGTAGCACGTGCCTGGCACGCAGTTAGCATCTCTGCACACTCGTGACAGCTACTTGGTATACTTTTTTTTACTTTCCCCTTAACCATAGAGAGTGTCTTTTGGCTCCCCACTTTGTGAGATGAAGGTATTAGCTCCTGCCCTTCCCTCCATGCCTCTTCTTTCACCTCCCAAGTTTTGTATTCTTTTCCTTTTGCATCGTCAAAATTAATAACTTATCGTTTGTTCTAAACCTAGAGTTGTCTTCTGTGCTTCGTTTATAAATTGCTTGAATGCTCCTGTACAGTTATCTCTATGGGATTTGCCTGTAGCCTTCTCTTCCTTTTTCTGTAGTGTGTGTATTGAAAATTCTCTCTTTTGGTAGAATTAAAACATAATTGCTGGAACACAGTAAAATACCTTGTTTAGATTCCACTTCTCTCTCTGCTCTCCTCCCTTTGCTGTAGCCCTTCCTGATCAGTTTTATTTACCATAGTCATAACTAGGTATCTTAATTTCGAAGAGCTCTCTCTTGCTTTTGCTTTCTGTTCCTCTTTCACAACATTTTGTTTTTATTTTATGAATATGGTATCTTGAAAGCTTTCAAAGAATGTGGATTTTTAAAAAAGCTTTCTTAATTATTTTAATTTTCCCCAGGGATTGTATTTTTGTTTGTTTATCATCTTTTCCCCTCTTTACTATTCTGGAGTCTTTCCTTAAATAACAGATGGGTTTCAGTTATCTATGTATGTTTATGACAGACAATAAAACATTGAATAGGACTTCTTTATGGGTAAACCGAGCTTACTGAGTGGTGGATTAATCATGGACGAGCTGTTAGTATGAGGAACTCCTATGTGTCATATTATGGAGTTCAGCTGTTCTGGCTATCCCCCAAATTGTCCTATTTTTTTTTAGTAAATCCCCTATCTTTTTTCAAGGGGGCATACACATCTGGCCACCATACCAGTTTTGGGGGATGGGTATCATAGACTCTTCCTCATGGAGCTTGTAGTTAATTTCCCCATCCTTAGCCCCAGTTTTCATTTTTCCCTTTCCTCAAACTCACCCTGGATGACTACAAGTTTTTATGGGTCCACCAGGACAGAGGGCTTCCCTCTCAGCAGTAGCCTCTTCCTCACATTCCTGCAGCCAAAGCTTTCTCTGCCCTGTCTCATCAGTTTCTACTCTTCCATTTGCATTCTGCCTTCTAGGAATTTGCGGAAATTGCTATCTACTGATTGCTATTCTCTTCCCTTCCTCTTCACTTAATGTTGTTTTGAATTCTTATTTTCTGTGTTTCATTATCGTTTAATGGAAGGGTGGGTCTTAGGAGGGAGAAGAAATAAATGTGCATGGTTAGTCCACAGCCTTTTTGCCAAAAATGATGGAACCTCACAAAGATCTTACTAGCTGTATGAGTTTATGCTAGAAAGCATTTACTAATCTATACCCTTTCATTACTATAAGATTTTCCCAGGGAATCTCTTATAATACTGATGATTAGGGTATTTGCCTGGAATACCCCATATAAGTTAATTATGTCCTCTTAAGCTGCTGCTTTATATAATTATTATATACCAGGGACTTAATTTAGGCTGTAGAATGCTCTATAATGAATAAAAAATGAACTTTGTGTATTGAGGTTCTTCCACATTAAGGTGAGTCAAGGTTCTAGCCTGAAACAGCCCACAGCCAAATAAAAGGAAAAGACAATTGATAACGAACTACGTTTATAAAAGTTCATTGAATTTGAAGAATGAGCTTTTTTTTTTTTTCTTCTGCAATTCTTGACATTATTTAGGAAGGCTTTCTGAAGGATGTTGGTCTTATGATCAAGCTAATGTTAGAATCCCTTGCTTTAAAAAAATTATCTGTTAAACTTGAAAAGTGGCATACACTTTGAGGTACCGCAGTATTTCTGCATGGAAGCCAAACTACAAACCTTTTAAAACTTCCAGATGGAAATTGTTTTTTGATAGCTGTTGAAAATGTGATAGAATTGTCAAAAATAAATCAACTACATAAATTATGAAACATAAGTCACTGTTCTCCTGACAGTACAAAAATGGAAAAATTTACACGAAGAAAATCAAAACAAACCTTTTGAGATAGTTAAAACTTAAGTGATGATCAGCAGAACCATCTTTACTGGACTGGTGTTTTGTAAATCTCCCCACATAAATTTGTTCATGTCAGTGATTACACAGCAAGGTTATTTTACTTTCCTTAGTTTGTATAATATTTAGGTTATAGTTAAAGTGTCTTTCTACAAAACAGATGAACATAGGGGAAGTGAAGGAAAAATAAGATAAAAACAGGGAGGGAGGCAAACCATAAGAGACTTTTAAATACAGGGAACAAACTGAGGGTTGCTGGAGGGGACGTGGGTGGGACGATGGGCTAGATGGGTGATGGGCATTAAGGAGGGCACTTGTTGGGATGAGCACTGGGTGTTGTTGTATGTAAGTGATGAATCATTGGGTTCTACTCCTGAAATTAATACTATGCTGTATGTTAACTAACTTGAATTTAAATAAATAAATTTAAAAAAATGAAAAAAGTATCTTTCTTTGTGACTATACTTACTTTAAAATTACAGTATTCCAAAATTAATTGTTTCTAGCTTTTTTTTTTATATATATAAATGTTTCTGAGAGGAGTTTGTTGAGACATGATGTGTTGGTAGAAGTAGTAATGTAGAACACTGAGATATTTTATTAACCTTGATAATTAGTATAGGTTTATTCTGTGTGCTTTGAAGTTCATGGAAATAGATAATTTACTGTATCAACCAAATTTATTGTAAAAGAATAAATCATTCAAAGCAAATCATGAATTTGCAAAGAAT